ATCTCATGTTGGCCAGATTGTTAATTCTATCCATGAATTTAATTTTGATGGTTCAGCCGGCATTACTTTTGAAACTTGGTTCAAGAAATATGAAGATTTGTTCAAGGTCGACCTCAAAAAACTTGATGACGCCGCTAAGGTCAGAATACTCTTGCGAAAACTTGGAACTGTTGAACATGAACGTTACAGTAACTTTATCCTTCCAAAGAATCCAAGAGATTTTTCTTTTGATGCAACGATCGAAATTTTGTCGCAAATCTTTGCTGAACAGTCATCTTTGTCTAACATTCGTTATCAATGTCTCAAGATGACAAAAGCAGGTGATGATGACTGGGTGAAACATGCGGGTTTAGTAAACCGTGAATGTGAGCGTTTCAAACTATCAGCAATGACAGAAGACCAGTTTAAGTGTCTCGTATTTGTGTGCAGCCTCCAATCTCCCGAAGATGCCGATATTAGAACTAGAATTTTGAGTAAAATGGAACAATGCCCGAATATGACACTACAAGAAGTAACCACAGAGTGCCAGAGATTGGTGAACCTAAAGCATGATACTTCGATGGTCGAAAATAATGGCCAGTTGCCATACGTTCGTGCTGTAAGTGGAAAGAACGATTCTTGCTCAAGAAAGGCATCGCACACAGATAATCAGCCTTCATCTCCATGTTGGTCTTGTGGTGGTTGGCATTATAAAAGGTTCTGCCCATATAAAGAACATTGTTGTAGCAAGTGTCATCACAAGGGACATAAAGAAAACTGCTGCAGAAAAAGAACCCATAAACGACATTCTTTGAAACCCTACTCGAGAAAATACAGATTTAGTGCTCGAACTAACAAAATATTGGTATCACATAATCGAGCACGAACTTGCCGCCAAAGAAAGTATGTAAACTTGGATATAAATAAAAAGCGTGCCCGCCTGCAACTCGTCACCGCTTCTGACATCACACTTATTAGTCAGAGAACTTGGAATCTTATCGGTAAACCACAGGTGCTCCCAACAACCCAGTTAGCTCACAGCGCATCTGGAGGAAAACTAAATATTGTTGGAGAGGTTTGTTGCACAGTCTCGAAGGGAAATGCGGAAACGAATGCAACTTTATATCTTACACAGAATCCAGGACTAGATTTGCTAGGTCTAGACTTGATAGAAGCACTTCAATTAGCAAATCACCCCATTAACCACATATGCAGCGCAGTGAGAACCAGTAAACCGGTTGAAAAGGATCTGAAGAGTGTTGTATTGGAAAGACACAGTCAAGTATTTACGGAAGAGTTGGGGGAATGCAAAAAGGTTAAAGCACTATTGATTCTTAAACCGGGAGTCCCCCCAGTCTTCAGACCAAAACGTCCGGTACCCTATGCAGCACTACCTATTGTTGAACAAGAATTAGAGCGTCTGCAAAGAAGTGGAATAATCGAACCAGTAAACTTTTCTGATTGGGCAGCTCCAATAGTGATTGTTAAAAAGCCTAATGGAAGTATCCGGTTATGTGCAGATTATTCGACTGGATTAAATGAAGCGCTTGAAGCCCATCAATACCCATTGCCGGTACCAGAGGATTTATTTACGAAACTGAATGGGGGTAAGTATTTTGCGAAATTAGACCTATCAGACGCTTATCTACAGATTCCGGTAGCGGATGAGTGTAAGCATTACTTGACAATAAACACTCACAAGGGATTGTTCCGATATAACCGACTTCCTTTTGGAGTAAAGACTGCCCCTTCAATCTTCCAACAAGTTATGGACACTATGTTACAAGACATTCCTGGTACCGCGGCTTATCTCGATGATATATTGATCATGGGTACAGACTATGCTGATTTAGAGAATAAGGTGGATACGGTTCTCAGACGCATAGCAGATTATGGATTAAGACTGCGTGCCGAAAAATGTGATTTTTACATGGAGCAAGTCCGGTATTTGGGATTCATAATTGATAAAAACGGGAGAAAACCGGATCCTTAAAATGTCGAAGCCATTAAGTTCATGCCCCCACCCACGGATGTGTCAACTTTACGTTCCTTCTTGGGAATGGTTAGTCATTATGGAGTTTTTCTTCCAGATCTCCATCGCCATCGTGCTTCTCTTAATTGCTTATTGAAAAAGGATACTAAATGCTTCTGGTCAACTGAATGCCAGGAAGCATTCTTAAAACTGAAGCAGCTTCTATCATCGAATCTTCTCGTTACACATTATGATCCTGGTCTTCCAATTGTAGTCGCAGCAGATTCGTCGAACTACGGAATTGGAGTAGTAATTTCACATGCCTACCCTGATGGTTCTGAGAAAGCAATCGCTCACGCTGCGAGATCGCTGACTATGACTGAAAGAAACTACAGTCAAATAGAGAAAGAAGTCCTCGCGATTATATTTGCTGTAAAAAAGTTCCATAAGATGTTGTTTGGCAGACAGTTCACCTTACTTACAGACCATAAACCGTTATTGACAGTTTTTGGATCTAAAAAAGGCATCCCGGTATATACAGCAAACCGGCTACAGAGATGGGCTACCACACTGCTGGGTTATGATTTCAAGATAAATTATCAACAACGGATTTCGGCCAGGCAGATGCACTCTCAAGATTGATTGGTCTGCATGAAAAACAAGAAGAAGAGGTGCTTGTAGCTGCTATAGACGTCGAGGCCGAGGTTCACAAAATATTGTCAGACGCAGTTTCCGGACTCCCGGTCACATTTGAAGCCATTAAAGAGGCCAGCAAGAAGGATAATGTATTAAAGATTGTTCGCCATTGCATACTCAATAAATGGCCTTCATCTAGATTACACGGAGAACTCTTACAATATTTTTGTCGAAGAGAGTCATTAACAGTTGTCGATTCATGTATAATGTTTGGCCATCGTATCGTTATCCCCAGAAATCTTCGACACCAAGTCATCAAACAATTCCACAGCGGGCATCCAGGGATAAGTAAGATGAAATCACTAGCTCGTAACTAGGCATACTGGCTGTCAATGGACCATGAGATAGAGCAAAAATGTCGCAGCTGTTTGTCCTGTCTAGAGGCTGCGAAGAATCCAACGAAAGCCAAACCACAACCATGGAATAAACCGGACGGGCCTTGGCAAAGAATACATGCTGATTTCGCCGGACCGATACAAGGCAGGAATTACTTAGTTGTTGTAGATGCTTTCACAAAATAGCCAGAAGTATATGACATGTCGAAAATGACATCGGAGAGTACAATAAGAAGATTGTCAGGATTATTTGCTAGTTTCGGGGTTCCAGAGATCTTAGTGACCGACAATGGTACTCAGTTTATGTCATCCGCCTTCAAACACTTTTGCAGTGAAAATGGCATATTGCATCTACAATCTCCTCCGTACCATCCTCAGTCGAATGGCCAGGCAGAAAGATTCGTGGACACGATCAAAAGAGCTCTGGTCAAAGGGGGAGGCGAGGGTATCCCGGAACAAGTGATTAATAAGTTCTTGATGTCTTACAGAATTACCCCTAATCCGGCAGTACCAGAAGAAAAGTCTCCGGTCGAGTGTATGTTCGGAAGGAAAATCCGGACAGTCTTTAACAGTATGTTGCCGCCCAGAAAGACAAATAAACCCACGAATGAAAATCGTAAGGTCAATCGTAGCTTTCAGGTGGGTGAAAAGGTACTTGTCAGATCGTATCAAGGTAATAGGAAGTGGGAACCAGGTGTCATAGAACGTCGAATTGGAAATGTGCTGTACCTAGTCCGGAAAGATGTCGGAAAATGCATAAGACATATAAATCAAATGCAAAGAAATGATAGTACAGTGGTCACAGAAAACCGGCTCCCATTTCAATTGCTCGTAGATTCGTCTCAGAAGAACCATCATGAGCGCAAATATCGAAAAGACAAACGACGCAGAGAGAAGGCTGTACAACCTTCGAGAGTAATGGACCACAAGAGGAATGCGACACCCAAGCTTCAGGTGGATCCAAGAAAAAAATCTTACACAACGGACTTTAAAGGGTGGAGGTGTGACGACGGACAACCGGTGAACTCGAGGAAGCTGTAAGAGGCTCAGAAGGAGCCGAAGACGTTTCACCCAATCACCTTTCGGAAGAATGTTCTAGAATTCCAACGTGTAGCTTCCCCATTGGATAATGCTAATAATCCCCTGTACGCGAATTGGAAGACTGTAATGATGATTTCGTTCTCACTAAAAACTATAAATACCTGACAATTTTGTACTATGACGGACACTGTTTGGAATAATATTCTTTTCATTAGTCTTCTGTCTTCTTATTGCGACTTGGAAGGGTTTTGGTGTTCTAGTGCTCAGTTATCCGCGGTATATCGAAAATTCAGCCTTTTCAAGATATAACAGACTAAATAACAAGACTTTCGTGATTGACACATTACCTTCATACTTGCTTTTGACGGTTCCACGGAACTTCATCTACATACTGCATGCGACCTTACCGTCTGTAGTGCAATGAACCTTCAAAACATGTTCTTTTCGACTGTCACAAAGATTCAAACAGAAATAACGCACCGCTACCAATTTACTGACTCAGAGGCCAAAGTAGAATGCGAATAGCCACATAGAAAAGATTTTAATGTTGATATCCATATGAGAATTGCCAATAAAGCTGACACAACCCAAGCTGTATCGTCATGGATGTAACGAAAATAGCATGAAGACGAACATACTAAAACACTCCTAATGCTTAAATAAGCACTTTGAAATGACATTAGTACTGTTCAAAAGTTTTAGCACAGAGACTTATTGGTTAAAACGACTTAACCTAGGTGTACAATGGATCTAGGTATTGATAATTTTTGAAGGGATTATTCAACACTAAAAGAGAAAATCAGTGATGCTCTAGGGCAAATTATTATACAAACTGTTTGAAATATAAGATATTGAGAATCAATCTATTCACCAACTAATACAAACAATGTAATGGATAGTAAGACATTTTCAGTATAAAAGACACTGGTTTGTCTTGAATCCCGACTATCAATATTGATTAATGATACTGGAAGGTAAAGGAAATAAATACTACTGTACATATGTATTTGGAAAGTTGATAACAAGGATAAAAATAATTTACATGTTGTAAACCTTATCGCGGATTTATGATATGGGGCGACTTTGTATCAGCGGCCACGATGCATGGAAGTCATTGACATATTCCGGGCGTATCCATGATGCCAGCTCTTTCGAAAGATCTACAAAACTCAACATTAAGAAGGATGCATCACTTACAATGGACGTCAGACTCCCATTGTTGTAATAGTTTCCTCTTTGAATCGATCTTGTCAGTAACAAGAAGAGATACTATAGAACGTACCTCAGGGCGAATGCTGTGAAATGAACGAAAATACTGAAGTTATATTGCTTCATAATACACTGAAAAACCATTTTCACCATCACAACTTATCAATTGTCACTAAACATTTTAAAATAAAACCTGTTTCACAACAAGCCATCATGTAGCATCTAGTTAATCATGCATTAGAACGAAGATCGAATTGTTTTAATTGCCCAGACGTTAGAACAAGTGACCAAAATAATCTTGGTGTTCATATATATATATATATATATATATATATATATATATATATATATATATAAAATCCATAGTTATAAACAAAAGCTAGACACATTTTTACTACAATAACAAGGGTCAGACTTCAATAAGTAGTATCAAATTATTATTTTTTTAAAAATAGGTTTATGATTCATCGTAGTTTCAGAAAGAAAGCCAAACTTGGAGAAAATATTAATTTCTGGTTAATACAGTAGTGAAGATAGAAACAATATTTAAACTACATTATCAAACTGTTTATACCAATATGAGAATATCACCTCAGTCGGGAGAAAAATATATCCATACAACAACAGAAGAAGTCGTACAAACTCTCTAAATTTTAATTAATGTTAATTTATATGAGGTCAACGAAAAAAGCACCCAAAACTTACATCCCCCATGAAACAGTTACAATTTGTGGTGAAATACTCTTTTTTATTTTTAAAGGGAACCACTTTTTAAATTCAGAGAATATTACACCTTCCAAAAGATAACGAGTAAACCACCGGACACTCCATGTTAATGATTCTTTGAAACCTAGTGATTGAGCCGCAGCAATGCTATTTATAGGAACAAGAACCGTGCTTGGCAGATCCAAATACTGATTATCAAACAGTGGTGCACTAGACTCGGGAACAACACCCAACCCAATATATATAATAGATTTCGCACCTGTAACAATAATATCGCGTTCAGAATCATAACGCGGAGTGGGAAGGGATATAACAGATGTATTGGCAGCAGATTTAGTGCCTTCATCATCACCATTTCCGATATTATTTGATTCGTTAATTGTGCTCTGATTTCCAGATTTATTTTCACTGGTGTCAACATTATCTGTCAATACAAGTTCACTGACAGCATAACTGTGAGGCGCCAAGAATGGGATCCATCCAGGATCGATTGCACAAACAGCTAAAATGTTATACAAATCGATAAATATATACAAAGCCTCTAATTAATACGTTTAAAATAAACTTTTAAATATCTAGTTTTGTAATAAGACGTTAATTGTAAATTTAACAATGAACTCCACAAGTATTTGGCAAAAATACTCTTAATATTATTTACAAGTAAGACGTAATTCAATTAGGAAAAGACAAACAATTGTGGAACTAAATCTTCCGAAAACTGCACATATGAACGAAGACTGTAAGAGTTTAGCCAATTCATTGTTTCCTACACTTTCAATTTTTTAAAAATATGTTTATAACTGGATTGAAAAGTATGACAAGGAAAAAGAGCGAACTAAAAATATAACGACATTCGAAATAAAAAGAGTATCATTAAATACTAAATGTTTTCGTACATTATACACAAATTACATAAAATATCACTGAGATCAATTGTAGCAATTACAAATTTGAACCTCAGTCAACTTGTGAACTAGATCTAAAAGTATTTATTTCATAGCCATTAAGCTTAGTGCCACAAGCTAAAATTTACTATACATATACGCAGATGCTATGTTCAATTAGGGTTTAGATGATGAAAACTAAAATTTTAGAGACAGAACTCTATCTGTAAGAAGATTCATCGTTACATACTAATTTTGTTTAGATAGCTATTTTCCTGAATGATGAAGGTATCAACCACATTGCCCTTAAAGAAATTACAATCACCAACTATTGGTTAGAGAACAATATTCTTTAGGTTCACCATGACACAGTCTGCTGAAACAGGCCCTAACTGACGAGTCCCTTGCAACACCATCTATCTGCCCAAAGAATATGAATTATACCTTGAGAGTGTGACGTTGGGTTAGTTCCCTTTAAAAACGTTTTTAAAAACATACGTCTAGGTTATTTTAATATGGTTGCGCAAATAGTAAATTGTCAACGTTTGGGGAACATTCGTGAAGACAAAAACAAAATCTAGTAACACCGTTTTCCTTTCAGAAGAATTGACGTCAGCAATTTATTCGATAAAAGAAATGAATCGAGTGGTATTTCTACTAATCATCTTTCTGACCAGTCAACTAATTTCCACTAATCATTCAGTAATTGCTTGGGATGAGGAGCTATTCATATCCACCATAAGGTGAAGAATAGTATTGTTTAGAAAGCTATTGGAAGTAGTAGAATTTCACGTAGTTTGTAAAGCATTACAAATTAGTACAGGTATCCTCGCAAAAATACTCGTAACACTGACATTTGTTCCATGCGAATTCAAACCAATCATAAAAATCTCTTAATCAAAAGAGAACCACAGGATTTACAGAATAACGCGGATTTTCTCTATTTCAAGGCTTCCCATCAGCTGTAAATTTAAGCCGTTCGTCGCTGATGAGAAGCCTTGAAATATAGTGAATTCATGTTGCTTTGCAAGTCTTTATCTTTACGTTTACTTAAATTTGTCAAGGGATTAGGGTGTATGAAATGCTAACAAAGTTTACAAACAGGACATGTTGAAACCCGATGAAACTTGTCCAACACACACGGAAGACATAGCAACTCAATAAAAAACATTCTTCTTACAACGTAAGAATGGTTTTGAAGTGGTATGTAGCTCCAAATAAGCTACGAAAGGGAAATTTTCACGTGCCAAAGTGGAATTTGAATCAATAAATACGGGTCCTTGTTTGCCAGGAATCTACAAATTATCGTACAAATAAAGTCATGGTAAGCATAACACAACTGGTCTAAATACGAAACAAACTGAGACAAAAACAAACCACTAAAAGACAGGGACATTTGAAGAGGCCAATTCATATACAAGAAGAAACACAGTTCATTATTACTATTTCAGTTATAATAAATATCGGGATGAATACATAGAGCAGTAATTTTATGTATAAGTTGATGAATGAATTGTAACTTTGGTACGTAATCCGAATAGATCGTATTTGAAATATTACAGAAAATAAGTGTACGATACTGAATTCGACTGTAAAATATACAATGAGATGTATTGGACTTCACTTACTTCATAGGCATAACGTAGTCTACGACGTTCATTACCCGGTAAACCAGTGACAGAGACATTAAGTTTTTTAGCAATTTGACAAGGTGAACCAACTAGAAACAATTGTCTCAACTGGATCATTTGAAAATCACTGGGTTTAGGTAAGCACAGATCAATCGAAAGACCAAGATCCGGAATAATCACATTCACTAAAGTAATAGTATAAAAGCATAAAAATAGTGCAATGACGTTATTCGTCATTGAACCTGCGAAAGAAAACTTGAGCAGTCATAATTATAAAAAACTGAATAGGTATTTGGTAAAAATAGAAACTTCTTATCTATTTTACAAAATCCAAAAATCCCATTATTATTGCCGTTGGAAAGCAGGATCAGAATATGTAAAAAAAAAACTGAGTAATGACCATAAAATTATGAGTTCCCAAATTATTTGACCTATTGCGATTTACAGGGTTAAGTAGAGTATTTAGACTTTGGCAAAATTGTTTAAGTCTCACAACCAGATGTATAAATCTGGACACAATTAAAAGTTCCTTTAACTCGCTATTCACTTCAGCTCAAAACAAATAAATAAACAGATACACAATTTGAAACTTACAAATATCGGTTAGTTGTTTACGAAGTTGCTTAACCTCTTTATATGCATTCCACCGGACACCACATCGATGAACGAGCTGTCTCAATGCACCTTCAGGATCACGTGATACGTAGGTCTTCCCACCAACAGATTCAATTATACCAGGTTCTGCAGGAGTCAGTCCACTGAGCTGAGCTGAGTAGCGTTCTAAACAACATATTGTCCCCAGTAGTACTGCAAGGTCTCCCAGATATAAATCTTCTTTCTACAGGAAAAACAACCCTATATATATTCAGAGCTTCAACAAACTGATATGATCAAATGAAACTTTGGAACTAGTAAAACGAATGCCACTGCAAGCATTTCTCAGAAGTTTGTCAAAGGTTGTTGAAATTATGAACAAATGAGGTTCGTTCGATAAAACACTCTCAATCTCAAATCAATGTAAGTTCAGAAACAACTCTGTTACTTTTGGTCAGGTGATGCACCTAGCCCTTACAGTAAAAATGAATATTCGTGAACACATAGTACATAAATCTGTACTTAGCTGTTAAAATGCATTGTCAATTTAAGATGAGTTCTGAGTTGCATACTGCTTCAGACCTTTAAGATGTCGGCTTATGGAAAAATATGTATGCTAAGATATCATTTTATGACAAACCCGCAAGCATACTATACAGCAGTCAGGGTTGTATTACCGTACAGTTACGTGATGTGTCCCATAAAATTAGAAAAAAAAGGCAGGGTAAAAGTATTTTATCAAAGGTGTTTTTAAAGCACTGTTCGAATTTGATGGGACCATGGAGTGAGTCTTGATGAGGTTAGAGTTATAATACTAGTTGAAAAGGAAAAGTCCACAGATGAGACCATAGCACTTTATTGACCGACGTTGTTGGGACATGTGCTACTTATGTCTAAACACCACTAATCCAGGTGTGCGATGTTGGCTGGCATGGGAGTAGATAGAACAAGTCAGAGATAGATTAATCAAGACATGGAATGAGACTACAGTCTACGGACCAAAAACAGGCTAGTTGGAGGTCGACTGCCCAAACTACAACATCAGTGTAGATTTTTATCGACACTTTTTAATTATATACGGCGTATCTTAAATGTGAATGGACGTATTGGAAGTCTGTATATTTTCACACATTTGAGGTGTTTGGGATTATTCTGATATCAACAGTTTTACGAATGACTATTATCCAGTGGTTAAACAGAACTTCCAATAAGAATGTAGACAATTAAGAGTCAGGGTTTTTTGCAGGAATTTACATTAAAACGTATTAGTATCATAATGAAGTGAAATAGCTGATAAATGGAAAACCATATGGTAAAAACAAAAATAATAAATTCATTTGCAGTGATGCTTGCTTTTCTGACAAACTGTTGGACAAAATTTGACTGAAAAGTTTTCTCTTGTTCCGAGACAGGTGTATCTGCAACTTGAGAGAGGAAGAGATTTGGTACAGATAAGGCAGCAACTAGTATCACAGCATACGGCATTAATTGACATTGATTTGCAAATAATAACATTCGTGCAAAGCGTGCAGGAACTGGAACACGTGTCATCCATTTACCAGCGTCCGTAATTGTACGAGATACGCCTAAAAAACAAAAGTATATTGTGATAAATATGCGGCGCAACAGATTACGTAAAAGGTCAGAGTTTTAATTGATTAATGTTTCCATCGCAATTACCTCCAGAAGCATTGACAATCTCTTTTAAGGCACCAAGAGCGATTAGTCGTCTTTCAGCTGCTTCAATCGCTTGTGGCAAAGGAGGAGTTGGTAAAGGAAACAACGTTAATTTTGTATTACCCAGGTAAAGCTAATACAAGAAAAGGAAAAAAGTCGTAATGATTACTTTTATGCAAACATAAACATCAATAAAGTGATAAAATAGTTGGACTAAAGACGACATGTAATAAAACAGTAAAATAGATCGATACAAATGGGAATAAATATAAATATGAAACTGTGGCCGGTAAATTGAACACACAGTGAATCATAATATCATAGACGGCAAAAAGATATTAAAATTATCTGTGTAATATCTAATAGTGATTTCCATCAATAGCACGTATTATGTGGTATATTTAGTAAATATTTTAGGTTGCGAGACATTTCTACGTATCAGAATTACTTGAGCATTTTAACTTAATAATGGTTATTTCCATAATTTATTTAAAACGAAGAAGGCAATAACTAAAGAAATTCGAATTAGTATCTACAGAAAAAACAACTGAGTTAAAAATATATGGCTTTAAAGAGGTAATTCCTGGAGTTCTAGTGAGAAGCAGTGACCAGTGGAGTTCAACCGCGTCTGTTGTGAGATAGTAACTCACTGATGAAAATGGTGGATGTGTCGCTCAATTTCGTGGATTAGTTGAAGTTAGACATTAACACCGTTGGATGCCGGTTCAATGGTCTAGAGGTTAAGCGTTCGCGCGCGAGTCCGATAGGTCCTGGGTCCGGATCTCACGGAGCGGGAGCGTGGATGAGCACTGCTGAAGAGTTTCACAATGGGGCGGGACGGCCGTCCACTGCTTCCAGATTTTCCATGGTGGTCTAGCTTCAATTGACTCATGATCTTAACTATTGAAATTAAAAATATTTATCAATTACATATGTAGTTGTTATATCTGGACGAAGAACAAGTAAATTGTAATCGCTATTTATGGACTTTTATTATATATATTCTTATTGAATAACTGTTTAGTAAACAGATTATATATATTTATATTTTTCTTATTATAAGCCTTTATTTGACCTATTGAATGCTATTATACGACTTACTATTTCGTAAGTTATTCCTAATTTATTGGTTACAGTCTCTCATAATTATAGACACTTTTTGACTGATCTTGTATAATTGTTATTTTTAATTTTATAGTATGATGTGATTTGTTCTGTTTGTATATAAACCAAATATGTCTGAAACACATGATTGAAACAGCGGAGGCTGATATTGGTGTTCTGGAATAGACTGGCTAGTTTAGGCGAAAAGTTACTATCTCGGTGGAACAATAAGAACACAAAGTTGACTCTAGACTGCTCTTACTGGTAGCTCTGGTCAGTAAGTCGGTGTTTTCATTGGCGATCGCATCGCGTGATAATTAGCAGGCCATAAAGAGAGATGACAGTAGTAATTTAATTTGTTTTGACAAGACATTTTTTAAATTAGTTATTACCTTTAACATTAAAACCACTTCATCGATAGGACGTGAAAGTATGTCAGGAGTAGAGAATTGTTTCATGCTTGAAAAGATTTGTGAACTATAAAGACGATAACAATGCCCCGGCCCAATACGACCAGCTCTTCCTGCACGTTGTTCAGCGGATGCTTGACTAATCCAGATAATTTCAAAACTAGAAGTCCCAGTAGCTGGTTCATAAACTTTGGTTTTCACCTGTGCAGAAAGCATTTGTTATTTTATTAAAAATAATTACAATCCATCGAGTTATTATTAGAAATATTTTGGAAAACAGTAAGATATGTGAACTGGTGAATTTTATTTTCACAATAAAGAATATGTAAATAACTGGTGTAAAGAGATTAAATAACTTTTAATTATATAACGAATATATCATTACGAAACAGCGATATTTTAGTGTGACGCAATCAAATAATAATAATAATAATAATAATAATAATAATAATAATAATAATAATAATAATAATAATAATAATAATAATAGGAAAATTATCACAAAAAGAACTGCAGGGAAAATGTAAACAAGCATAATAATATAGGGAAGGAGGGAATGTCCGTTTATTCAAAGTGGTCCTAGGTCAGTTGGAATTCAGTAGGCCTATTGTCATAGATTCAGTTGTACGGAAAATGAGAGGGTAAATCCTAACGAATCGTATTAACAATCAGTTAAGCATTCACATGGCAAATTATTTGTTATTGGATATTTGAAATGTAGTAACCATGATCTAAGACAACGAAATATAGCCGACCTGGTATATGCAAGGAGACGATAAGGATTTTAGTGCTTTAAGAGTGTTAAACATCTGCAATTGTCACTTCTCATACATCCTACACTTTTAATTAAACATTATATGACGAGCGGAGAAAATCCATTGGTCGTCTAGTCAACTTTGTTTTCATTTTTGATAAATCCCTTGTTATCTGATGAGTAACTATTGGTCATAAAATATCTTGGTTAAACAATATATATATATATATATATATATATATATTCAGGTAATAACTAGTAAATACATTATCTATATGGTTAGGATTCGATCAGTAACTACGTGAAGACATTATCAGTAATTTTGTCAAATCAATTATTGTCATACAAAACACTAATGTGCTAAGTCATGATATCAGTCAGTCAGCTACAACGTAGGACCAGGCACATATGTGCATCGGTCCGGGTTGCCATACCGCATCAGCACAACAAGATGAACACCGGATTCATAGCAGTGGTTGGGTCAAAGGTGGTAATGTATAAGAGAAAGATTGCATACAGTCATGATATTATGGAGGGTGTAGGTTTGAATTTCGTAGATGAGTCACGGTTTCTGTCATCAAATGTTAGAATGTTCACCAAAGAATGTTCTGTCATGATACAATGTGATTGACTGATAACGGTTTACGAAATCAAATTATTGACCCCCGCCTTTCAAATCGACCGATATAAAAGATAACACGACTATCAGTAGATTACGGTCCTAAACAGCGAAACCAGTTACCAATTAACAGTACATGTAGAGAGCAAAAATTAATAAACACTATGGAAGAAATATAACCAAAAACAACTTACCTTGCCAGTATCTACAACAAATCGAATATTCGGGATTGTGATTGAAGTCTCTGCAACATTCGTAGCAACAACAATGAGACGATGATTTTCAGGTGGTGGCTGAAATACACTTTGTTGGCGTTCCGGTGATAATAATGAATAAAATGGTAAAGCGTAAACTGGTCCCTACAAACATGTAAGTACAAAACATAAATAAAAAATACACTTAATTATACCACTCATAGCTGTTTTAATTAGGTATACGAATGAAATAAGAAATTCCACAGATATGAAAAATATAGATTAAAAACTATATTTTGAATAAAACTGAAGCAATCATAACTCCGCCCGGTCCCAATCCCGGATAAGGGAGGAGGTTCGGACATGTAGTTAGCGTCTCCATCCCGTAGAAGACTAATGCGCTGATAAATGCTAACTGAAAAGATTAATAAAACCACTTCAACTCCGCTCTGGGAGTCAGAAGGTCTTCATTTAGAAGAACTATGACGCCTCATGGTGAAAGCCGAGTTCCTTCGAAAGTTACGAGGCCGATGCCTCTTCTGAAAACCAGAACAACCATTTATTTAGGTACATGGAATGCTCGTACAATGTGGGACACCGGGAAAGCCTTCCGAATTGCTGCAGAAATAAGGAGATACAACATAGAGGTGCTTGGGATCAGTGAAACACATTGGACACAAGTTGTACAACAAAGACTAACTTCAGGAGAGCTTCTGTTATACTCCGGCCATGAACAAGAAGATGCCCCACATACACGAGGAGTTGCATTGATCCTATCAAAACAAGTACAAAAAGCATTTATAGGATGGGAATCTCATGGACCTAGGATCATCAAAGCCTCCTTCAAAACAAAGAAAGAGGGCACTTCAATGAACATCATCCAATGCTATGCGCCTACCAACGACCACAATGAAGACGCTAAAGATCAATTCTACGATAGGCTGCAGTCAATCGTTGAAAAGTGCCCAACAAAGGACTTTACCATTCTGATGGGAGACCTAAGTGCCAAGGTTGGAATGGACAACACCGGATATGAAGATATCATGGGACGACATAGACTTGGAGAAAGTAACGAGAATAGTGAGAGATTTGAAAACCTATGTGGTCAATGGCGACACTATATTTACACATAAACGCATAAGCAAAACCACATGGACTTCACCGCAACACACTACACAGAACCGATTCGACCACATCTGCATCAACAAAAAGTTCAAGATGACGATAGAGGATGTGGGAATCAAGAAAGGAGCTGATGTAGCATTAGATCATCACTTGCTGGTCGCCAAGATGAAATTGAAACTCAAGAAGCATCGGACAACATCACAAAAGTTTAATGCGGCTTTTCTTCAGGATACTGACAAATTCAACAAATTTAAGATAGTCCTCAGATATAGGTTCCAGGCCTTTCACGATCTACTCAATGGAGAGGGAACTACTATGGAGAGCAACTAGAAGGGGGTCAAAGAGGCTATCACTTCAACATGTCATGAGGTTCTGGGCCACAAGAAGCAAAATCACAAGGAATGGATCACTGTTGACACACTGGATACGATTCAAGAAAGGAGGGACAAGAAGACAGCAATCAATACCAGTAGAACAAGAGCAGAAAAAGCCAAGGCACAAGCTGAATACACAGAAGTAAACAAACAAGTGAAGAGGAGCATCAGAAATGTCAAACGTAAATATGTGGAAGACCTAGCAATGACGGCGGAAAAGGCTGCAAGAGAAGGAAACATGAGACAACTGTATGACACGACAAAGAAACTCTCTGGAAATCGCCGCAAACCAGAACGAACAGTGAAAAGCAAGGAGAGCAAGGTAATCACCAACATTGAAGAGAAACAAAACAGGTGGGTAGAACACTTCAAGGAACTCTAGAATCGACCAACCCCACTGAACCCACCCAACATCGAAGCAGCACACACGGACCGGCCAATCAATGTTGACCCACCAACAATTGAAGAAATCAGCATGGCCATCAAACAAACCAAGAGTGGCGAAGCAGCAGGACCACACAACATTCCAGCAGAAGCACTGAAAGCAGACGTAGCGGCTAGTGCAAGGATACTCCACATTCTCTTCAATAAGATTTGGGATGAGGAACAAGCACCAAAAGACTGGAAAGAAGAACTTCTGATCAAAATACCAGAGAAAGGCGATCTCAGCAACTGTGATAACTAAAGGGCATCACTCTTCTCTCAATATCAGGAAAAGTCTTCAACAGGGTATTTCTAAACAGGATGAACGACTGCGTAGACGCCCAACTTCGTGACCAACAGGCAGGATTCCGTAAGGATAGATCGTGTACAGACCAAATAGCAACTCTATGGATCATTGTGGAACAATCAATTGAATGTAACTCATCACTGTGCATCAACTTCATTGACTATGAGAAAGCATTTGACAGCGTGAACAGGACAACACTATAGGGTCTTCTTCGACACTACGGAATGCCTGAGAAGACAGTCACTATCATACGGAATTCTTATGATGGATTCAACTGCAAAATCGTGCATGGAGGACAGCTGACAAAGTCGTTCGAAGTGAAGACCGGTGTTAGGCAAGGTTGCTTACTCTCACCGTTTCTCTTTCTCCTGGTGATCGACTGGATCATGAAGACGTCAACGTCTGAAGGAAAGCGCGGGATACAATGGACATCTAAGATGCAGTTGGATGATCTAGACTTCGCAGACGATCTGGCCCTTCTATCCCACACGCAACAACAGATGCAGGAGAAGACAAACAGCGTGGCAGCAGCCTCAGCAGCAGTAGGTCTCAACATACACAAAGGGAAAAGCAGGATTCTCCGATACAACACAGCATGCACCAATCCAATCACAATTGACGGAGAAGATTTGGAAGATGTAAAAACCTTTACATATTTTGAGCAGCATGATTGATGAACAGGGTGGATCTGATGCAGATGTGAAGGCGCGGATCGGCAAAGCAAGAGCAGCATATTTACAACTGAGGAACATCTGGAACTCAAAGCAACTGTCAACCAACACCAAGGTCAGGATTTTCAATACAAATGTCAGGAGAGTTCTACTGTATGGGGCAGAAACCTGGAGAACTACGAAAGTCATCATCCAGAAGATACAGGTGTTTATTAACAGTTGTCTACGCAAAATACTTCAGATCCATTGGCCGGACACTATTATCATGAACCCACTATGGGAGAGAACGAACCAGATCCCAGCGAAGGAAGAAGCGCTGGGAGTGGATAGGACACATACTGAGGAAAGCACCCAACTGCGTCACAAGACAGGACCTCACATGGAATCCTCAAGGCCAAAGTAAAAGAGGAAGACCAAAGAACACATTACGCCGAGAAATGGAAATAGACATGAGAAAAATGAACAAGAATTGGATGGAACTAGAAAAGAAGACCCAGGACAGAGTGGTTTGGAGAATGCTGGTCTGCGGCCTATGCTCGATTAGGAGTAACAGGCGTAAGTAAGTAAGTAAGTGAAGCAATCATACAGTGACCTATGAGAAAATCCCGGATTTAACCAATATAAAAGGCAGCTTTCGTAAAGCTGAACAGCTTCATGGAGTAAAGCTGAAAAATCTGAAGTGTGTTTTTTTAAGTTTATGTGGCGTATCCATCAACGTAACTTAACTAATAAGGAATAATACAAGTAAAACTGATTCTCAAAACGTCTAATTCTCAAAATGTAAAGAATGGAAAACACATCTGATATTTACACAACGGGTATTCCATTATGTAAACTGCTACGGATATGTAAAATAATGTACAATGTTAAAAATCACAATACTTGAGCGACAAGGTACTAAATTGATGTAAGACAGTAATCGAAAACAGAAAAAATTAAACGAGTAGAAAAAGCATTCTTTATCAGGCTGGAACTAAGATAAGTTTTCAAAATAGCACATCAATACAAACCAAGTGTTAGCGGGACATAGACTGGATTAAATCATGCTCAATGCACGATTGCTTTGGTGCACACTGATTGGCTAATTCTTATCGAATCAGCACTAGTCGATAGTTGGAGAATACTCTAGAACCTTCTCATGTAAAAACTATAAGTAGACTAACGTTTTCTCTATTGTGCTTCTTACTTGCATCTAACCTTGTTATTTGGAATATAATCTCTTTCCTGTCCAACCGTGTTCTGATTTGGGGTCTTGTCGAGTGATTTGGTGTCCAAGAATACTAAATAATAGGAATAGCTGGGTCATACCGTAAGAAGAGAGATTATAACACCAAGATTGCTGAAAAATGTATCATTCAGCAATTAAGACAAATACAGTAGGCCAACTTAAATTAAACAAAAAAATACTATTAAATCATATTATTAAATTATCCAGTAGAATATTTTACAGTAGACACTTTGATACAACGTGCTTACATGTGATAAACTGATTTTTGTTTAAAGTACTGTACTAACTCCGGTCAACAATAAGAATGACTTTTAGTTACAAAATAGAACATATATTATACAGAGTACAAGCAATTCATAATCAAATAAGATTCTGTCAGCATGACGAAGTACCTGTCATAGATTTCTCATTCGTGATAAACACTACAGTCTCATATCCAATTAATTTCTTTGTTCACTTGTATTATAATTTCAATCAATCATACATCAACCTGAACTTACCGGATAAGATTCATTACGAATTTCATTAATTTGCCCGAGTATATCATCATCTTCACCAATCTCTTCAACATCACTATCATTCACCGTCTCATAAGTAACCTTATTCGACTGTTTTTCTTTCGTTGAAATAACTTCTTTAGAATTAATTCGAGTATGACCAATTTCCGTTTCTTCATCAACAGGAATAATATCAAAGCTAAAAGGGGAAATATGCAGATAATCACAAATTTATATGTTCAATAATAATTAAGTAAATACTAACTTTATAAAAATATATATTAATTAAAAGACTAATGGTAACACAAACAGCTATGGTACAGTTTATCAATCAAAAATCAAGTAGATTATTTAATTGAGATCATGAACCGACAAAAATTAGACCGCGTTGGAAACATGGAAGGACTGGACGGCCGTTTCGCACTAGTGTGAGATCCTTTAGCAGTGGTCACCCACGACCCCTCAGCCAAAAATCGAACCCACGATCTCCAGTCTCACTCGCGAACGGTTAACCTTTAGACCACTGAGCTAGTGTCCGATGGTGTATATGTCAAAATTTAGTCAGTCTATGACATTGCGCAACCACCTTATATTGCCTTCTGTGGGTATTTCAATGAAGCTCAACAATCTCCACAACCTTATATTGATAAGTAGATTATTGGCAAAAACTGGAGTAAAAAACGATAGGTAAAATGACTTGAAAAATAACAATACTTAAGATTTTACACTACGTACGAAACTATGCCATTTGGAAATAATAAAATGTCCACTGGTAACCAACCGTATTGTGTTGATTAACCAGATGGAATAAAATGTCTTACGGATTTGATAAAAATAAAACCTGTTATTCTACCGAGTGTTATGCCCTGTTATTTCGAAAGTCAACCTTGAAAGTCGAAATTAAACTGCCGGTTAGCAAACTTACGAATAAACTGTAAAGTGAATAGTTCATTTTCGAACAATACTATTAATACGATCATCGGATGATAGTGTAATCCAAATATGCAAAAAATGTAGAGTTTAAAAGTAACTAAAAGAGGTTTACAATGATGACAATGTAGGGGAGACGGAATATGAACCGTAGTAAATATGTAGCATAGAATAGTTGGATCAAAAGTGCAAACAGCTGGAAAGAAACATCTATGTAGGTCTGTAATTATTACCAATCTAGATAAATTGCGTTAATATGATCACATACTTTTAGTCATAATACTTATTAGTTAAATGATTAATTAGAATAACCCATTGTGTCATTGAGTAAAAATAAGGAATTTTGCGAAAATTTTCTTTTCGATGAAATCATTTACTTAAACTGTTCATTCGTATTCATAGTTATTATTTGTTTATTGTTCATAGTAGTCAGTTTTTTTGTAAATATTCAGGATTGTATTTTAACTCACTTGTTCAGATCTATGCCTGAGTTAAACTGATCTTTTTCTTCTAAAACAGTACTATCTAATGAATTTGAGGGAGCGGCTGCATTGACAGACTCTTTTAATTTCTTCGTTTGTTTCTGGTGTTTATGAGTTTTATTAGATTTTTCATTTGTTAAATTTACTTTTTGATCATCCATCTTTGGAAAAGCCCTTGTAAGCCAACTGCAAAGTGTATTTGCTTCTTGCTGACCAGTGACAAATACAAGAATTCCACCAGGTGGTGAAGTCTTGTGAATTGATACAACCTGATGAAATAAAGGTTTATGAGTGGCAATGTTAATCAGTAGTTAGTGATATGCATAGGAGGTTAATAAAACAAGTCAATTTGATGTATTTTATAGTATGGGAGCTTTTTAAAGAAAAAAATATGTGATCTAACAATTATTAAATGTCACTCATTGCTTATGATACTTCATGGAATACGGCGAATTTCTAAAATAATGTCTTGATTAAACATTAGTACGGATTTATTGAAACAGTAAAAAGTTATGATAAACCAAACGTTTCTATACACTGAAGTACCGACAGTCTTTGTAAAAAGTGCACCTTAATGTTGCTTACAAATTTTGTGTATCCACTTCAGAAATATGCTGCTTTTACCAAAGTAATGGGACGCAACAAAGAGACGAAGTTTATTAATGATAATTACTATGCCAAATCATTGCTTATTGAGCTTTATTGAGCTACATATGTGACTCAATTAAGGTGTTCGGTCTGTCAATCAAAAGGTGGGTAGTTTAAAGTATATTACTTTATTAGTGTAATATATAATTTGAAGATTGTGGGTAAGTATATGTTGTAAGCATTTGACTGTTATTTTGTATGATTAGTTGTGCACGAGCAAATTACATAGTAATCAATGCAGAAGTTATATATATATATATATATAGTAATAAACGAATTTGGTAAATTGTCTAATGAGACTATAAAATTCACTGAATGGGACAACTGAGACATGTTTTACACATATTCAGTTATAGTCAGAACTGGTATCACGCTGTCGTATCAATCCGTAATACAGGTTATACATAAATGAAATCATTCACCTTTCGAAATGCGGCCTTCAGATAATCTGGATGTGTTACTTTGGCAAAATGACATGCTACAGGATACTGACGTGATTCGATATGAATTACTGGAGGCGGATTGTGTGGAAATAAACGACGATTTTCAGCAAAATCGTCTACTTTTAAAGTTGCAGACATGATAATCAATTTAAGTGGTGACAGTACTTTACCATTTGTTGGTATGTTATCGGTAAACCTTTGACGACGTAATCGTACTACCATCGATATAAGACCAAGAATAACATCAGAGTAAATTGAACGTTCATGAGCCTCATCCACAATTATGACAGAATATTTTGATAGTTCAAAGTCCTTGACAAAGTTTAAAATAGAAAAATGTGTTTTAGCAAAAAGAAATAAAGTTGATACAATGTATACAATTCACAATTATTTTGTTAGTCTTAAGTTTATTGAAGTAAACTCGTTATCAAATAAAATGTATGAGATTAAAATTGAAAATAAACAAAACTTATGGAGTCCTATACTGAAGATTATAAGATAATAATTATGAAAAAAAGACATACTCCTTCCTGTCTTTCACAATCTGTCGTTTTGTCTACTGCTTTCTAGTTATTTCTTCATAAGTATTTAGTTATTCTTACAACATTGGGTTATTCTGCTTTTCATATTTATCAAGTGGAAAATTATCTTAACATTTTTCATTGACCATTAGATTATCACATAACTCCTTTTCAATAATATTTAGAATGTATTTTTTAATAGTTACCTTAAATCTACGTAATTCTGAGCAGAAAAGAGATATTTTTTTTAAAGTAAATTATATGCTGATCCTTAAAAGAATACTGTACAAGAAAACTTCTGCTCATAAAGTCTACTCGATGAAAAAGTTGCAACGAAATCAGCTTACGTCAAACTATGTGACCACAGTTTTAAAATGTTTATACATATAATTTACATAATGTAAGATGTAACTGACACAAAGTACCATTTGAAAAAACAGTAATGCTTTCCTTTCATAATTGATAAAATAATGACATTTCTTTCTTTGAAAATTTATATATCACAATACTATGCAGCATGTTTATCTGTTTACTTCAATTGACTCGATCTGAAATCACGACAGTAGGTTAATTTTACTTCCACTTAGAGAAAGAGACAATGAAAACTAACGCTATCAGTATTTGAATTATAGATTTGCTAGTAGTTTATTCTGTCGGTGATATATTTGCGTTAAGGTAAAAAATCTGTGAGTAAAATAATTTTTACAGGTAGATTACATGAATGCAAATCAAATGCTTAAAAAGACAAAGTTGTTCAACCAGCGAAATTTATGTAACAATAACACTGAGAATTACCTGTTTAATTTCTTGTAACAATATCCCGTCTGTCATAAATTTTATCAACGTTTCTTTGGTTACTTCTTTATCATAACGTATATGATAAGAAACTTGTCTGAATGGTATAAGAAAGAAAGTAGTGTTAACTTAAAATTTTCGGATTAAGTCTAGTGAATTACCCTGAAAGATAATTACTGCGATACTCTAACTAACGGTGAAGACATGGAAATAAGTTGGGTATAAAAATTGCTGACATCATTATGTAGGTAAACAGTTATTATCGAATATGAACAGTACATGAATAAAAACATACGTGCATCGACTTAAGTAGTCACGCTATGTAACGAAATAAAACAAAACAATAAAATCAAGTTATGCATGACCCTTAAGACGGTATTTTGGTTCTAACTCCATACTCCATCATCCTCCGCGGTTTTGCATTTTCCCAGTCTCGTATGCCATCCTCCGTAACACATCTTGAAAAATGAAAAACGTTCGATCGTCATAAAGTAAGTGGAATATCAACCTACCATTTTATCCGTAACACCAAGATACGACACGGCCATGTCTTCCATTACACTACAGCGACTCACGAGCGATTGAGTTTATTCTCATTTAACTCAGTTAAGCCCTTTTGCTAACTTATTTAGCGGACAAATTCATCCATACTATAACAACTTGTTGTACTTTTATTATTATTATACTTATGTGAAATATGTGTGAATGAACATTGTTTACCACCTACGCGTATATTCATTATGCCAACTTCATTACTAACTGCTTAATCTATTCGTTGACTCATCCATATATATATATATACTATGTGGTCCGAATTATCTGCTAATAAAGCTGTAGTAGCTGCTTCTTTTTACATTCTGATTTCAAACACCGTTGAAGATTATACGATAACGGTTCGAGGGCGATTAGTTACCGAAGCACAGCCTCTACAGAACTGGTAATTCCGACGTGAGAACAGGAAGCGAATTTCAACGAAATAATCAAATCCCAAAAATCTGACGCACTTCATCTCAATTTGAATTACCATATGAACTATAATTACAACTGTGGATTTATATTACTATTTTAATTACACTTACATTATTTCACAAGCAGTATTAAACGTGACGATCATAATCATAATAAATAACGATTATTCATAAACAATTGGTATATTGGTGCAACTTAGTAAGTCTGTTCCATTTTTTTATTATCATTGTTTTTGCCCGTCTATTTTTCCTTATGACAGTTACATTATTTTCGTGTGCTGCTTTATTTTTTATAAACGTCTTACGAAAACACAGTGTCAAGCGTACAGCAAACCTCGTCCGTAAGGTCTCTTAACCTTACTGCCCCTTCTTTTAAAGTCACAGACCCAAAACTTTGGTTTATAAGACTCGAAAATTATTTCCTCGCTAAATTCGGCCTCACAAGCACACTGCTCCCAGATGAAGTAGCAGAAAGCGTTCGAGAGGCATTAGCGAAACCAGACACTGAAAAACCATACGACGCGCTAATAGAGGCAGCAATTAAAACCCTCTCTCTCAGTGACCAGCAAGCTGTCGAACAGCTCCTTAACCAAGTACAAATTAGAGATAGAACCCCGTCACAACTAAAAAATTATATGAAAAGTCTACTCGGAGATAGGCACATTGACAATAACCTCTTTTATCAACTATGGCTCCGCCGACTCCCGACAAATATACAACAGATCCTAGCTGTGGGAGATACGAACGCTGATTTAGACATAGCAAAGATAGCTGATAGAATATACGAGGGTGATTAGTTATCGAAGCACAGCCTCTACAATAGTAGTGCCCTCTATACTGTAGCTGAAATCGTGAATGTGCGGTATAGGGTATCTGTCAGCTACTGCTAATGCCTCTCGAACGCTTTCTGCTACTTCATCTGGGAGCAGTGTGCTTGTGAGGCCGAATTTAGCGAGGAAATAATTTTCGAGTCTTATAAACCAAAGTTTTGGGTCTGTGACTTTAAAAGAAGGGGCAGTAAGGTTAAGAGACCTTACGGACGAGGTTTGCTGTACGCTTGACACTGTGTTTTCGTAAGACGTTTATAAAAAATAAAGCAGCACACGAAAATAATGTAACTGTCATAAGGAAAAATAGACGGGCAAAAACAATGATAATAAAAAAATGGAACAGACTTACTAAGTTGCACCAATATACCAATTGTTTATGAATAATCGTTATTTATTATGATTATGATCGTCACGTTTAATACTGCTTGTGAAATAATGTAAGTGTAATTAAAATAGTAATATAAATCCACAGTTGTAATTATAGTTCATATGGTAATTCAAATTGAGATGAAGTGCGTCAGATTTTTGGGATTTGATTATTTCGTTGAAATTCGCTTCCTGTTCTCACGTCGGAATTACCAGTTCTGTAGAGGCTGTGCTTCGGTAACTAATCGCCCTCGAACCGTTATCGTATAATCTTCAACGGTGTTTGAAATCAGAATGTAAAAAGAAGCAGCTACTACAGCTTTATTAGCAGATAATTCGGACCACATAGTATATATATATATATATATATATATATATATATATATATATATATATATATATATATATATATATATATATATATATATATATATATGGATGAGTCAACGAATAGATTAAGCAGTTAGTAATGAAGTTGGCATAATGAATATACGCGTAGGTGGTAAACAATGTTCATTCACACATATTTCACATAAGTATAATAATAATAAAAGTACAACAAGTTGTTATAGTATGGATGAATTTGTCCGCTAAATAAGTTAGCAAAAGGGCTTAACTGAGTTAAATGAGAATAAACTCAATCGCTCGTGAGTCGCTATACTGTCTTCTCGAAGATCGGCTTAGTCAGAGCATGTTACCACATCCCTGTTGCCCTACAAGACATACCGAAGACTGCGGTAGCAACCCCATCTGGGCCATATGAATTCCTGCGTATGCCTTTTGGACTGACTAACGCGGCACAAACCTTTCAGAGGTTTATCGACCAGGTCATTAGAGGTTTACCTGGGGTATACGCCTATATCGACGATTTATTAGTAGCTAGCGCCACTAAAGATGAGCATATACAACAACTACGGCAATTATTTATGCGACTCAGAGAACATGGCATTTCTATAAATATTGGGAAGTGTGCATTCGGAAAAGAGTCCTTACAGTTCCTAGGTCGCAATATAACTTCTCAAGGCACCAATAGCAACGGAAGTCGACGCTATTAGGAATTATCCGCTACCCGACTCATGGAGAAAGTTACGCCGATTTCTCGGGTTAATAAATTTGTTAGGTATGCAGAGGAATATACCAATAATTATCATGTAAGTCTAACGGTGACCTTGGACTTTAAATGTACACTCCTTATTGGTCGATATTTATTTCACTCGTTAAATATTGTGTAAATGTTGTTTTCTATTTTATGGTATGTGGTTTGTTTGTTTGGAATATAAATAGAGTGTGTCTGAAATATAATGATTCATAACTCAGAGGCTGTGACTTGCGTTCTAGACTCAACTGACTGGGCTAGACAGGGAAGCGGGGCCAATCAGGACACTAGGTCGTCCACTACGTGTTTACGTGTCACTGAGTCGATCGATAAAACGCTGCGCAAATAACCTGTAGTCCACACGTTACAACAAAATTATTACGGACGATTTATCCCGAATTGTGCGTCAATATTGCAACCATTAACAGATGCGTTACGCGGACACGCACGGATATTCCAATTATCACCAGACGCGACTCAAGCATTCGAGCACGCTAAAAAAAGCACTAAATAAAGAAGCGACACTAAACAGACGAACGAGTGAGACACCATTAGCTATCATGACGGATGCATCGGATGTAGCGGTAGGGGTCGTTTTACAACAATTAGTAAATGGCATATGGGAACCGCTCTCATTCCTTTTGAAAAGACTGAATCCAACACAAACAAGATATAGTACTTTCGGAAGAGAACTCCTAGCAGTTTAATTAGCAATAAAACACTTCCGTCATATGGTCGAAGGCATAAATTTTACCGTCTATACAGACCACACACCACTAATGAAAGCATTAAGTGCAAAGCAAGACAATTATTCCCCGAGAGAGGTCCGACAGCTAGAGTTCATTTCACAGCTCATGTCCGACATAAAATACGTTAAGGGACAAGAAAACGATGTGGCTGACGCACTGTCAAGAGCAACCATAAGCACACTTATGGCAAGTGGAATTGATTATAACGATCTGGCAAAGTTGCAGGAGAGAGACATCGAGTTAAATAAACTCAGATCCGATGGTACAACATTATTAGTACTCGGTAACACGAAAGTAATATGCGACACATCGACAGGCCGACCGCGATCATTTAATCCCGAAAACGTTGCGACAGAAAATATTCGAAAGCATGCTCATGTCACATCCAGGAATAAAAGCCACGATAAAGCTGATTAGTGAACGATTCGTATGAACAAACATGAATTACGATGTACGTAATTGGACACAAGCATGCATGAAGTGCCAAAAAGTCAAAGTAAATCGTCATACTAGCGCTGCAGTGGGTCCGTTTTCACACCCAGGCACTAGATTTGGACATATACACATCGATATTGTAGGACCACTGCCTGTTTCAAATGGATACAATTATATCTTTACATGCATCGACAGGTTTACACGATGGCCGGTAGCAATACCGATAAAAGACACCTAAGCTGAATCGGTAGCCAAAACCCTAGTTGAAAATTAGATTTCTTATTACGGTGTACCAACGATTATCACAACTGATAGAGGAGCACAATTCGAAAGTCGACTCTTTCAACAGCTTACAGAACTCCTCGGTATTAAACGAAGTCGAACGACATCGTACCATCCAATGGCAAACGGAATGCTCGAACGCCTACATAGGCAATTAAAAGCGTCTCTTACAGCCGTCATTGTTAACAACGATTGGGTCAATAAGCTTTCTCTAGTAATGTTAGCTCTAAGAGCAACAATTAAACAAGACATGGGATGTTGTCCAGCCGAGTTGGTATACGAAACTACTCTACGGTTACCCGGAGAATTTTTCACTTCAAGTAAAGGTGTTCCGACCTATGTAACCGGCTATGTGCAACGCCTGAGAAAGCACATGAGCGATTTAAAAATAACACCTCCCAGACCCCAACGATGACGAGTATTCATACCACAGGAACTGCATAACAGCACTCACGTATTCATTAGAAGAGATAAAGTACAACCACCTCTACAACCGAGTTACGATGGCCCATTTAAAGTAATAGAGAGGACAGATAAAACGGTTACCATAGAGAAAGCTGGGAAAACAGATGTAATCAGCATCGATCGAATGAAGCCAGCTTTTATCGATAGCGATATTCAATCAACAAGTATAGACTCCTCTAAGATGGTCACACCAGCGAAGCACGAGTCCTGAGAATCAACGATGTTAACGCAACAAAAAGACAAGACTCCGATAACAAGATCTGGCCGCAGAGTAAGATGGCTCCAACATTATGTCGCTACAACTTTCAATTAATAATTTTCTACTATTTTAAATATTAATTATAACTTCCACTTCATTGTATACACATGCATTATTAAGCTCATGTTATACGCTATAAAACTCAACGTATCTTATGTACCCTTACGCTTATACGTATAATTTTTGTTTAAAATGTAAAAGCAATACCGCATTCCTATTTCTTGCTATTATTTTATATAACCTCACGGACGGGCACAAACCAAATGTACAGCGCACACTAACTTCATCTTAATTTTGTATAAGCCATTTTTTCAAACGATTGTAACTACCCTATTCAGTTTACTATTTTTTGTGCAAACACAGACATTTTTCCACATATTTTTGTTTGCAGGGGGGGAGCTATTATAGCAACTCACATGCAATTGAGTTTATCCTCATTTAACTCAGTTAAGCCCTTTTGCTAACTTATTTAGCAGTCCGTTGACATCAGCATCTTTGTCTTGTTTTTGTCTCTGACATTGAATCCTTCAGATTTCACTGATGCAACATCATCCTCAACTTCAAAACTTAACGTTGTGTCCAAATCCATGTTCGTTCGATAATTGGTACAATTTACAAACTAAATTCCTGTCATTTCTCCTTCCATAAAATTGGAGGATTCGATATGAGGCTCGAGTGTTGCTGAAAACGTCAAAGGTGTTTGAGGCGTCCTTCCATAAACCAAGTTATGAGCGGAATTATGAACAGAATTACATTGTCTTTCTAACATACACTGGATTATTGAATACAGCCTTTTCTGGCTTCTTGGCTGAGTTAGTTAAACAGGGAAACAGTTCTTTAAAACTATGTTGGAAAGGTTATTGTCATTCGTTTTGTGGTAGGGACCCACAACCGCAATTCCCTGGATCCCATTATCCCAAATGTGACGCAATGACAGAAGTGTAATGGCTCCCAAATGCCCTGGCCGAGAGCGGGGAGAGTTCGCTCTCCCTCTCGAAATACTCTCACACGCCCACGCGTATACAGTCTCTGTCAGGGAAGTTCTACTCATTGCTGTTTACGAAATAGAGAGGACGAAAACCGAATGTTCGGCGCTTTAAGAGGATCCCAAACCAATGGTGCACATGGGCTCCATTATCCTGAAGGAACAAATGACGTATGAACCAATCGTTGGTCACCGGCTACCATGGGACTGCATCTCCTTACGATGCTCCACTGCTTTGTGGACCAGACCTTTAGGTCAGAGGCTCGGGGTGTGGCCCACTAAAAAAACCACCTGCTTCGGTCTGGGCACCCGGGCAGTATCACAGCCCACGCACACAAATATGGTGTGGCGCATATATATTTGGTGCCCTCTTGTACCAATATTTATGTGGTCAAATAAATAAACAAAACTTTATTTTCAGATACAATAATAATCATCGTAATTACAAATTTGTGTCGTGTTCGAGAAATAGTTATCAATGTTCCCGAGTTTACTTTTAATGACATGCATACTCTTTTGCTTATAACAATCAGTGACGACTTCAGTCTACATAATTGAACAAATTCAGTTCCATTTTTACGTGATCAATAAGAAAATTATTTTCTTTTTATCTCAATATCTTTTAACATTCAGTGGTACAATATGGTTTGATGTGGGTTTTTTTCACAAGATACAATTTTAAATTCAACGACGATAGGATCATCTAACGGATTTTTTTAAAGGTAGAGTTGAAATATAAAAACGTAAATTTTGACATCCAATAAAAACAGTTTACTAATCAGATTACAACAATGCACAATTTACAGTTAATCAACAAGTTATTACAAGAAACAAAATGTTTGTTCTAAAACACATGAGCACAAATTTTGAAACATAAGTTAACCAATCACTTATTCATAAATACTTCTAATCATAGCCATAGATTTTCATCAATAGGGGTCAAGAATTTCAACCACCAGTGAGTGAACTTCAACCAATCAATAATTCTAACATAGTTTCCTACTTTTAACATTGAACAATAGGATACTACTAAGAGTTACGTATTATTTGGTATTAGCTTGAAGACTTTGAAAAGAATATCCAACACCGACTGAAATAGGGAAAACCAGTATTACTTGTGATTGAGGCTGTTGAGAAAACAAATATTAAATACTTACAAAGTGACAATCTGAGACCAGTACACCTATTTGCTACAAAAATACAGCTATATTGGATTTATGAGAGACTACCATCTAGTTAAATTATATAAACAGAAATTTTTTGTCATGGATTATCAGGATACATCAATTTATGATATGCTGTAAACATACCCAGACGTCAAATTTAGTTCCTCACCGACTCGATGTGCCATAGATATTGCAGCAACACGACGGGGTTCCGTTATTCCAATCATATACCCCTCTCTAAAAATTATGAGCAGTAATAAACAATGCAACCCCTCGTAAATAATGAACAAAAATTTATAATAAAGAAACGTGCCACACAATAATTACCCCTAGTCGTTCAAGCTACTTACGTAAATAAATGTTACCGAATAACGATAAATATTAGGCTGATAAATTTAACGATAATCCTAATTGTCAGATAGCATACATTGTGTCCAAGCATTGGTTAGGCACAAAATCACTATGAAGTAGGATTTCAACCCCACTTTAAAGCTAGATGGGTGAATTCTAACTTAATTTCCATGTACGGTTATTGACGCATGAGCAATACAAACTAATACCTTCCCAACTGATAAGCCAGACGTTAACCCCTATAATGTTGGATTGAAGAGAACATTGCATAACAATGTCTTCAGAAGAGATTGGTGTCAGAGGTCAGTATATTCGAAGCAATCAGGCGCAATCACGCTAGACTAGCCAGTTAACTAATCGCGAGCAGTAAATCAATATGGTTTCTTCGATTGACAAGCAATGTACTATAAAGACTCTGCTGTTCAAATATAAGTTAATTAGTTTATTCTACTGAAAACTATGTTGGAGTATTGTGATCTGGATTGTAATCCTAAAAGACACATCTTATAACACTGAAGATACTTTTGTCTAAACGTACGATCCATCACCTAATATGTATAGTTCATAGTGAAGGGTACCAACACCACAGATGCCTTAGAAATATTGCTGGCATCTGCTGGGATCACCGGGTAAGTAATAGTGAGGTTAGATGCAGGGTATTAGGGAATGATGGTAAATCAGTTGATGAGGTTGTGAATCTTCATCGACTGAGATGGTTGGGCCACGTATTACGTATACCTGAACACCGATTGCCACGACGTGCAATGCTAACTGGTGTTGGAGATGGTTGAAAGAAGGTTAGGAGCGGCCAAACCAAAACGTGGCATCAGTGCTTGAAGTCACTAACTTCTAGTCTGAGTCATGTTGGGAGATGCAGACTACTTGGTTGGGGTCTGCGTGACTATCGTAACCAATGGTTGGAGACTCTAGGTGACGTGTCTCAGAATCGATCACAATGGCGTCGATGTATACATTCTGTCTCCCCTTAAACTAAGAGATTAAAATCGCTTCATATCTTTCTTTCTACGAACTAATTCTTTTTTCCTGTACTATATCCTTATTGCAATCTTTGTTTTGTATATTACCACCTCTGAATTAACTACTTTTATGAATCCGGTATCCATCTTGCTATGTTAATGGGGTATGGCAACTTGGACCGATGCATATGTGTGTCTGGTCCTAAGTCGTAACTGACTGACTGACACCACTGAAAAGTTACCTATTACTTAAGTATAGATAAAACAAATCCCCCCATACATATAAACCAAGAAAGACAGAGACGTCGTCAAAATGGAACACAGTTCAGATGTCCACTGACCCAAGCTACTTTATTACTTCGGCACGAGATAGGAATAATGTGGTAGCAATGATGAAAAGAAGGAATGAACATTTGGAATATGGTTTGAAAAGATCTGCATGAAGGGATACTGAAGTTCAAGAAAAAGAGTATCAAGAATAAAAGGATCTGGACCGCTGTGGACGACTCTGTGCCATGTCACCCAAAGTCACCAATGAATGATGGCGGTTATCACGCGGACCTCAACCAAGTAGTCTTCATTTACCAACAAAGCCCAGACCAACAATCAATGACTTCATGAACTGATCTTACGTTTTGTTTGTCATCCCTAGCTTTCTTTCATCCCAGTTTTGCAACACCAAGCAATGCTACGGTTAGGCATACGTAACACATGTCCTAACCAACTCAAGTCGATAAAAATGTAAGAACTCATCAACTAATTTGCCATCTATGACAATTACCCTATTTACAACTTGAATATTGGTCGCTCAGGATAAACCAATCAGTTTATTGACTCGGATAAAAATGGATTCAATCTGAGTTCAGTATGAGAATGTGAAAACACAAATTTGTCAAGTCATAAACAACGACTACATAAGTAATGTTAGGTAAATATCAGAGAACTATAATCAGTGTGCCAAAAAAATTAACCGGTGACTAGTGGAATGTGCCAAATAATTGGGAATCAGTTATGGAACTTTTAAATTGTGGTTTCAGCCCAAATATACGTAAATTATGGAAAGTTCACCAGGAATAATGCATAATCGTAAGTTATCAGTATTATGTTAACTCGCATTGTAATATAGACCAAGCGTTTCGCTCCATTTAGTACTAATAAAAATGCTTAAAACAGATTATATACTCCACCAAAAAAACAGAGACATACGTAGCATATCCTGCCTCATATAGAAACTGTGGGATTTGTGTAGTTTTACCACAACCTGTAGCGCCGCATATTATGACGCAGTCATTTTCACTGATACTTTCCATTATAGTTGCCTCATCAGACAAAACCGGTAGAGCGAGACGAGCTGCTGCTACCTCAGGTGTTCTTGAAACAAGAACAAACCGAGCAGGTTTGGAAACTTTTCCTGCCTCAAGAGGTTTGTTTTCATGCTTGTCTTCAACAATGGTTTGTGTGCGTTCTCCAACTTTGTCGTCAATAACATCCTGTTCTGAGGCCACTCGTGTAAAAGAAACCTCGTTTGTTGATACAGACTCATCACTGCTATATTCGTCTGTAGATTTGGAAGTATCTGATAGGTCATTACACTGTTGTTTCCAAGACTTTCCCCTGATATTGCAACTGAAGGATTGGAAATAAGAATAACAGACTTACTTGGTTAGCTTTTTTTCCGAATTTTTAGGTTTGTTGAACAGAGGTAAGACAGAAATGTGTTGGGTAGTTTCAGGTTTTTTATACTCTTCTAATTCCCTCCACAGCTCTGAACGCTAAACACGAAATATATGGAAATTTCTGTTACCGATAGTTTCTTCTCTTTTTGAGATACTTTTCGTAACAGTTCTTTTCGTCTTTTCTTTGATAAGATTTGGTTTTGCACGATTTCATTACGGTCTAATTGACGTTTTCCTTTGTATCGAGATTCATTTTTTCCCGGTAAAACCAAAGGATTACTCGAATCGTACTTTGCTTCATTAAACTCGAAATCAATCTGAAGTCGAAACACGTGAAAACTGAAAGGTTACTTTTAAGATACTAGAAATTTACTCATAAGTGAAAATTGAATACAAAACCTATGGTTTGCATGTCAGATTAGATAGGATGTCGCGTTAGTTACTAGTGATAACTTGATGGTTAAGACACACAAATCATGTTTACTGAAATTTATGTTTAACTATTTGAACACAAACGTTGGCACAAGAAAACACCAAATATATATGAGCCACACTTCATTAGATTTGTGTGAGGGCTGAAATACTGCCGGGACGCCCATACCGAGGCAGGGTTAGATTACCGATTTGTAGTCATTCAGTGTTGATAGATCTCAAAAAACGTCCACAGTTGTGGTCGTAAAATTACATTTTATTACCTAGTTAAAGTACAAATTGGAGCTTACATAAAGTAATTGAGTGGAAAGCAACATCAAGTGCTGATATAAGTAAAACAAAAAACAAAATTAAGGACCTAATGAAAGTATTATCATTATTGTTACTAGAACACAAACATAAATCCAAGGAGGCACCAAATAGATACGCACCACACAAATCGGGATGATTTGTGTGAGGGCTAGGATACTGCCCGGGTGTCCAGACTGAAGCAGGTGGTTTCTTTATGGGGTTACACCCGAAGCCTTTGACCTAGAGGTCTAGTCCATAAGACTGGTGCAACGTAAGAAGATGCAGTCCCATGGTAGCCAGTAACCAACGACTGGTTCGTACTCCATTTGTTCCTCAGGATCCTGGAGCACATGTGCACTATTGGTTAGGAATTAGGGTTTTCCAACTCCACTAGGTAGATCCTCTGTACCCACCAGCCCCGTTAAAGTGCCAGACATTTGCCTTCGGTCCTCCTAATTTAATAAACAACACACTCCCCCGCCACGAAAATGCAGTGAGTAGGGTTTCCCCGGCAGTGGTTGTATTAACATGGCCATATGACAGCATTTCGAGATGGAGAGCTGAATCTCCCCACTCTCGACCGTACTAGGGCATTTAGGGAAACCTAAAAAAGACTAAAGGTCCACAAAAGGGATTCAGTGAGGCCATTTTTGAATTGTTTCGTCTATGGGTCAAAAATCTTTCGAGGTTGACTAATTCCGACCGTAACTGTACAAAAGCACTGACACCCCCAGCTACCAAGATTATCCCATAAACAAATAAATCATTCACGTTCTAAGTTATAAGAAAGTTTGCTTTCAGCGATTTATGCACAAAACGTTAACCGTAAACAAGAGAACTATTAAGAACCTTCAATGTATCCGAGAGACTGTATAGACTTGTAAGCATCAAGATCTAGAATGACATCAATTAACTTCTCGTACTGCGCAAAATATGGGAAGAGGATATAAAATAACCAGTAGATGCCCAACTTCCAGAATCTGAGGAAAAGTTTATTAATTTCGGGTAAGCATACAGAAAACCCTGCGTTTGTAAACAAATGCATGACTTGACATCAAAATTGTTACTGTATCATGTACATGTATGAATAGCTGCATACAGTTAAAAATCAAATGAAGGAAAACGGATTGGGCATATTTTAAGAATATATACTCAGAAAGACTACTACGTAGGAAGGCACTTACCAAGCCCTCACATGTGCGCTTAACGTTGGCCATCAAATAAGGCGCTTCACTAACCTTCTGTTGCTTAATTTCTAGGAAAAGTTGGATTACCTTATACTTCGGTGTGTCTTTATTTCATGACTCTCTTTCCCAACACTCCATTAATTGATCATTTCCTGACACATAAATGTAATGTCACTCTACAGAAAGACAAATTTTCAGATTTATCTTCAATTTCCTTCATCCCTGACTTGTGATTCGACTTGGTTGATGTCCTTCCATTCTAAATGTGTTACGGACACAAGGGCTGTCAAATCCTGAATATCTGTGGAATCTTCAGTGGTGAGTCCGAGTTAATCTGGTACGCCAAACGAGAAAATTGTAAATCTGTAATTTGTTGTGATATTGCGCGTAGATTTTTTTACATAGCGTTTACATTCAGAGGCTTTTTCCACCTGTTTGCGTATTTGATCTACGTAATGTTTGAACAAACAGCTAGTTCTTTAAAGTTCACGACTCTTACAACTATTACCTTTTAACTCACGTCATTCTTACTTACTTACTTACTTACTTACTTACTTACTTACTTACTTACTTACTTACTTACTTACTTACTTACTTACTTACTTACGCCTGTTACTCCTCGTGAAGTAACATAGGCTGAGGCCTACTGATGCAGAGACTTCTGCTACACTGGCTATCTTTATCTGCATTTGTTCATGTGTATGCGATAAGAGGGCTAGGTCATATGCGAAGTCCAAATCGTCTAATTGGTCCTGAGCTGTCCATTGTATTCCGCGTTTTCCTTCAGATGTCGAGGTCCTCATAATCCAGTCGACCAACAGAAGAAAAAGGAAGGGAGAGAGTAAACAGCCTTGTCTGACTCCAGTCCTTACTTGGAATGCATCAGTCAGCTGTCCTCCATGCACGATCTTGCATTGTAGTCCGTCGTATGAGTTCTGGATAATGTTGACAGTCTTCTCAGGAACTCCATAGTGTCGAAGAATTTTCCATCACGTCCTCCTATCTACACTGCCAAATGCCTTTTCATAATCAATGAAGTTGATGTACAGTGACGAGTTCCACTCAACTGATTGTTCGAGGATGATCCGTAGTGTCACAATTTGGCCTGTGCACGACCGATCCTTACGGAATCCAGTTTGTTGATCTCGAAGTTGGGCATCTACTGCATCTTTCATCCGGTTCAGCAACACTCTGTTGAAGACTTTCCCTGGTACTGACAGTACTGTAATGCCTCTGTAGTTTTCACATTTGCTCAGATCTCCTTTCTTTGGAATGTTGATGAGGTGTTCTTCTTTCCAGTCCATCGGCAATTGTTCCTCCTCCGAAATTTTTTTGAATAGAAGGTGAAGCATGTTTGTAGTTACTTCGATGTCTGACTTCAGTGCTTCAACTGTTATATTGTCGGGTCTCCTTCTATAACCTCCCCCAACATTTGAACGGCGGTTCTTGTCCTGTTCCAAAATAACCACTTTGACTAACTAGCTGAACCTAGCGATAAGATTCTGGAGATCATCAGAACCTCCACTATTGAGGCAAATTTTTGTCTAAGAAATGTCCGAAATAAAGCGAAATTACACTATCTACCTTTATGATACTCTTATTCGTTTTCTCAACATTAATCGTGATCTCAGACGCTCTAAAACTCTTCAGAAAATCCCACGATGTCAAATATTTGTCTATTTGCCACGCAAACACAAATGACTCTGGTCGGTGTTGGTTCCACAAAAAGTATAGCAAATCTGTTAGACATTGCAAAAGACCTTGCAGTTAACCGACCTCAAACCCTCCGTCATGACAAACTGAATCAAGGAACAGCATTTTTGGCAAGAACTCCTAGCCATGAATTGTGTAGTAAGGTATTTTCAACGCCCTGTGGAAAACTGAGAATTAACTTTGTTCACCAACCATAAGCCTCCTACCTCTTCTCTTGGGTCGTCTTCTTTCACAGTTCAAGAAATTAATGTTTAACTTGCTCAGGTTCAACAAGTGGACAGTGATCTTCGGAATGGGCTGCGTTTGACAAGCCTTAAACCATGAATCATACAGACCGAAAAAAACAAAGCTTTATAATGTGTCTTATCTACAGGTAGGGATGTATTTAAATGATTCATTTGACAGCCAGAGCCTCAACAAGGATATCGTTTACCAAAATGAATATAAAATGTATTCTATTTAACATATCTATATTCAATTCCGTTAAATCTCGAGTCATTGTGTGTGCAATTATAAATTTATGAGGGTTCGAAACTTTTCTGTTTATCTCAGTTTTATGCAGACATATGCAATCCTATTGAAACAAACTAGGCCATTCTAATAGACAGTTCTGATGTATTCAGATACTGTTCAGCTCCCTCCATGACGATTTCTTGTATTTTTTATTTGTTTCGTTACAGGATGGGCAGAATATGTTCTTCACCTATCGTTTGATAAAGACAGTAGATCTTTTTGCGTGTGCATATACCTTCGATATTGCCTGTCTGTGAGGACCCAATTTTCTCTTGTTTGTACCTATCACTTTAGGTGTTAGCAGGTGATTGGATAGGATATCATAGTCGTTTGATAGTTGGTATGACATAAGGAACCCGAACCAATATTAGTTTAATTTTTGTGTTATAAACATTTTGTGAGGGACTTGGAAATTGGTGGTCTTAGACGAAACGGAAGAATAAGCGGTGGTAACGTTTACGCAATATCTTGAAGGACACAAATAAGACTATTACAAACGATTCTTGTGAGATTTATTGACGACCGTTATCCATATGGACTGCAGATATTAAGATGTTTTAGCAGTGCATGGATGAGTTAAGTTGTAGAATTACGGTCTACTATTATATTAGTACTGCTCTATTAATAGACCTAATCCTAGAATTGCAGTTTTCGTGGTATAACTGCCTATTCTATAAGATCTTACGTGAAAGTCGTATCATCGTCTCCAACAGCTCATAGCGTCGTAACAATCACCAATGGATGATGGAGAACAAACTTAAGCTAGAGATTGAACAATATATTTAATATGAGTAAAAGATATAAAGTAAAAACTTCTCCAGGACCCTTTATAGGGCTACCGCCGGTCCCAAGTCCGGATAAGGGAGGAGGTTCGGACATGTAGTTAGCGTCTCCATCCCGTAGAAGACTAATGCGCTGATAAATGCTAACTGAAAAGATTAATAAAACCACTTCAACTCCGCTCTGGGAGTCAGAAGGTCTTCATTTAGAAGAACTATGACGCCTCATGGTGAAAGCCGAGTTCCTTCGAAAGTTACGAGGCCGATGCCTCTTCTGAAAACCAGAACAACCATTTATTTAGGTACATGGAATGCTCGTACAATGTGGGACACCGGGAAAGCCTTCCGAATTGCTGCAGAAATGAGGAGATACAACATAGAGGTGCTTGGGATCAGTGAAACACATTGGACACAAGTTGTACAACAAAGACTAACTTCAGGAGAGCTTCTGTTATACTCCGGCCATGAACAAGAAGATGCCCCACATACACGAGGAGTTGCATTGATCCTATCAAAACAAGTACAAAAAGCATTTATAGGATGGGAATCTCATGGACCTAGGATCATCAAAGCCTCCTTCAAAACTGTGATGGCGGACCACCGGTGAACTCGAGGAAGCTGTAAGAGGCTCATAAGGAGCCGAAGACGTTCCACCCAATCACCTTTCGGAAGAATGTTCTAGAATTCCAACGTGTAGCTTCCCCATTGGATAATGCTAATAATCCCCTGTACGCGGATTGGAAGACTGTAATGATGATTTCGTTCTCACTAAAAACTATAAATACCTGACAATTTTGTACTATGTTTGACACTGTTTGGAATAATATTCCTTTCGTTAGTCTTCTGTCTTCTTATTGCGACTTGGAAGGGTTTTGGTGTTCTAGTGCTCAGTTATACGCGGTTGTATCAAGAAAAGTCAGCTTTTTCAAGATATAACATCTGGCGACGGGTTATTGTATCAATATGTCACTTACCTTGGAACAATTTGAAGCCTTATTGGAACGCCAAGAAAAGTTCCAGATGCGCATGTTAGAGATGCTAACGCAGAAAATGAACCTGGATCAAAAAGAAGTTACAGATGATTCCTTCAAATCTCATGTTGACCAGATTGTTAATTCTATCCATGAATTTAATTTTGATGGTTCAGCTGGCATTACTTTTGAAACTTGGTTCAAGAAATATGAAGATTTGTTCAAGGTCGACTTCAAAAAACTTGATGACGCCGCTAAGGTCAGAATACTCTTGCGAAAACTTGGAACTGTTGAACATGAACGTTACAGTAACTTTATCCTTCCAAAGAATCCAAGAGATTTTTCTTTTGATGCAACGATCGAAATTTTGTCGCAAATCTTTGCTGAACAGTCATCCTTGTTAAATATTCGTTATCAATGTCTCAAGATGACAAAAGCAGGTGATGATGACTGGGTGAAGCATGCGGGTTTAGTAAACCGTGAATGTGAGCGTTTCAAACTATCAGCAATGACAGAAGACCAGTTTAAGTGTCTCGTATTTGTGTGCAGCCTCCAATCTCCCGAAGATGCCGATATTAGAACTAGAATTTTGAGTAAAATGGAACAATGCCCGAATATGACACTACAAGAAGTAACCACAGAGTGCCAGAGATTGGTGAACCTAAAGCATGACACTTCGATGGTCGAAAATAATGGCCAGTTGCCATACGTTCGTGCTGTAAGTGGAAAGAACGATTCTTGCTCAAGAAAGGCATCGCACACAGATAATCAGCCTTCATCTCCATGTTGGTCTTGTGGTGGTTGGCATTATAAAAGGTTCTGCCCATATAAAGAACATTGTTGTAGCAAGTGTCATCACAAGGGACATAAAGAAAACTGCTGCAGAAAAAGAACCCATAAACGATATTCTTTGAAACCCTACTCGAGGAAATACAGATTTAGTGCTCGAACTAACAAAATATTGGTATCACATAATCGAGCACGAACGTGCCGCCAAAGAAAGTATGTAAACTTGGATATAAATAAAAAGCGTGCCCGCCTGCAACTCGTCACCGCTTCTGACATCACACTT